AGTAGCAGCAGTAGAAAAAGTAGCCGTAGTAGTCGTAGTAGTATTAGTAGTATTAGTAGTAGCAGTAGCAGTAGTAGTAGTAGTAGTAGTAGTAGTAGTAGTAGTAGTAGTAGTAGTAGTAGTAGTAGTAGTTAGTAGTAGTAGTAGTAGTAGTAGTCGTAGTAGTAGTAGTGGTAGTCGTAGTAGTAGTAGTAGTAGTAGTGGTTTGGTAGTGGTAGTGTAGTGGTAGTGGTAAAGTGGTAGTGGTAGTGTTAGTGGTAGTGTTAGTGGTAGTGGTAGTGGTAGTGGTAGTGGTTGTGGTTGTGGTAGTGGTAGTGGTAGTAGTCGTAGTAGTAGTCGTAGTAGTAGTAGTAGTAGTAGTAGTAGTAGTAGTAGTAGTAGTAGTAGTAGTAGTAGTAGTAGTAGTAGTAGTAGTAGTAGTAATAAGTAGTAGTAAGTAGTAGTAAGTAGTAGTAAGTAGTAGTAAGTAGTAGTAAGTAGTAGTAGTAGTAGTAGTAGTAGTAGTAGTAGTAGTAGTAGTAGTAGTAGTAGTGGTGGTAGTGGTAGTGGTGGTGGTAGTAGTAGTAGTAGTTTAGTAGTAGTAGTAGTAGTAGTAGTAGTAGTAGTAGTAGTAGTAGTAGTAGTAGTAGTAGTAGTTGTAGTAGTAGTAGTAGTAGTAGTAGTAGTAGTAGCAGTCGTCCCACCAGCCCTCGGGGCGTCGGTGGTTTAACGAGTTTCCCCTTCCACCCCTCCCTCTTCCCCTTCGGGGAGGGGTGTACCCCTCACCCTACCCCCTCCCCACTGACCTGGACAGGGGGTTCCGCGGCGCGTTGGAGCGCCCAAGATGGCCCAATACGGCTCCAAGAGGGCCTCAGGGAGCCCAAGATACCCTCCAAGATGGCTCAAGATAGCGCAAGATGCCTCAAGATGGTCCCCATGATGTTCCAAGACGTTCCAAGAACTCTCCAAGACGGTTCCATGTGCCCACAAGAGCATCATTAGGATGCATCCAAGAGGCCAAAATGTTTCAAAACCCTGAGGAAAATCAATGTTTTTGGTGCTCTCACTTTTTCGCTTGCGATGCACATCCGAGGCGTCAAGATGGCTCCAAGATGGCTCAATATACCTCCAAGAAGGGCCCAAGAAAACCCCATGACGGCGCCAAGAGCGCCGAAGAGCGCTCCAAGAGCGGTACTACAGGAAACGATGTTTGGAGTTCCTGGGGGGGGGCTCTAATTAAGGAACCCTACTTCCTTGACCGATGTCCTCCAATATTGCCCCAAGAGCGCCCCAGCAGGGCCTTCAAAGGCGCCCAGACGGGTCCAAGAGGAACCCAAATCTCCCAAAATAGCTTCCCAAAAAGTCCCACCAGCCCTCTGGGCGTCGGTGGTTTAGAGCGTTTCCTCTTCCACCCCTCCTTCTTCCCCTTCGGGGAAGGGTTTACCCCTCCCCCTACCCCCTCCCCACTGACCTGGACAGGGGGGGCCGCGATCAGTCAGAGCGTCCAAGATCGACCCCTGGGAGGGCTAAAATTCGACACCCCTCACGAGGATCGGGGCTCCTGAGGGGGGGGCTGAAATTTAGGAACCCCCCGTCGTTGATCGATCTCCTCCAAGATGGTTCCGAGAGACGTTTTGGACCCCCTCTTGGGCCCTGCGCGCGGGCGGGCAGAGCGCCGCCCGCCCGCCCGCAAGGCCCAAGAGCCCACCAAAACGTTCGAAGACACTTCCAATACGCCACCAGGGAGGAGGAAGAGGCGGAGGAGGAGGAGGAGGAGGAGGAGGAGGAGGGCGAGGAGGAGGAGGAGGAGGAGGAGGAGGAGGAGGAGGAGGAGGAGAGGGAGGAGGAGGAGAGGAGGAGGAGGAGAAGGCGGAGGAGAAGGAGGAAGAGGGGAGGAGAACAGCTGCCGATCATCGGCGCTCTTCGTTCGAGTGCCTGGTGTAGGATGGGTTGGTGGGGATACGCGAAGCGTCAAGAATAGTAGTATTAGTATTAATAGTAGCAGCAGCAGCAGCAGCAGCAGCAGCAGCAGCAGCAGCAGCAGCAGCAGTAGTAGTAGTAGTAGTAGTAGTAGTAGTAGTAGTAGTAGTAGTAGTAGTAGTAGTAGTAGTAGTAGTAGTCGTAGAAGTAGTAGTATAAGTAGTAGTAGTAGTAGTAGTAGTTGTAGTAGTAGTAGTAGTAGAAGTAGTACTAGTAGTAGTAGTAAAGTAGTGGTAGCAGCATCAGCAGCAGCAGCAACAGCAGCAGCAGCAGCAGCATCACAGCAGTAGTAGTAGTAGTAAGTATAGTAGTATAGAAGTAGTAGTAGTAGTAGTAGTGGTAGTAGTAGTAGTAGTAGTAGTAGTAGTAGTTATTAGTAGTAGTAGTAGTAGTAGTAGTAGTAGGTAGTAGTAGTAGTAGTAGTAGTAGTAGTAGTAGTAGTAGTAGTAGTAGTAGTAGTAGTAGTAGTGGTGGTGGTACCAGCAGTAGTAGTAGTAGTAGTAGTATAGTAGTAGTAGTAGTAGTAGTAGTAGTAGTAGTAGTAGTATAGTAGTGTAGTAGTAGTAGTATAGTAGTAGTAGTAGTAAGTAGTAGTAGTAGTAAGGTTATAGTAGTAATAGTAGAGTAGTAGTAGTAGTAGTAGTGCGCGAAGTTAAAGTGAGTGGTAGTGGTTAGTAAGTAAGTAGTAGCATTGGCAGTAGCAGTAGTAGTAAGCGTAAGTAGTAGTAGTAAAGTAACAGAGTAGTAGTAGTAAGGTAGTATTAGTAGTATAATAGTAGGTAGTAGTAGTAGTAGTAGTAAGTAGTAGTAGTAGTAGTCAGTCGTAGTAGTAGTAGTAGTAGTGGTAGTAGTAGTAGTAGTAGTAGTAGTAGTAGTAGTAGTAGTAGTAGTAGTAGTAGTAGTAGTAGTAGTCCCACCAGCCCTCTGGGCGTCGGTGGTTGAACGAGTTTCCTCTTCCACCCCTCCCTCTTCCCCTTCGGGGAGGGGTTTACCCCTCCCCCTACCCCCTCCCCACTGACCTGGGCAGGGGGTTCCGCGGCGCGTTGGAGCGCCCAAGATGGCCCAAGACTGCTCCAAGAGGGCCTCAGGGAGCCCAAGATACCCTCCAAGATGGCTCAAGATAGCGCAAGATGCCTCAAGATAGTTCCCATGATGTTCCAAGACGTTCCAAGAACTCTCCAAGACGGTTCCAAGTGCCCACAAGAGCATCATTAGGATGCATCCAAGAGGCCAACATGCTTCAAAACCCTACGGAAAATCAATGTGTTTGGGGTTCTCACTTTTTCGCTTGCGATGCACATCCGAGGCGTCAAGATGGCTCCAAGATGGCTCAATATAGCTCCAAGAAGGGCCCAAGAAAGCCCCATGACGGCGCCAAGAGCGCCGAAGAGCGCTCCAAGAGCAGTCCCAGAGCGGTACAGGAGACGATTTTTGGAGTTCCTGGGGGGGGGACTCGAATTAAGGAACCCTACTTCCTTGACCGATGTCCTCCAAGATTGCCCCAAGAGCGCCCCAGCAAGGCCTCCAAGGGCGCCCAGACGGGTCCAAGAGGAGCCCAAGCCTCCCAAAATAGCTTCCCAAGAAGTCCCACCAGCCCTCTGGGCGTCGGTGGTTTAGAGCGTTTCCTCTTCCACCCCTCCTTCTTCCCCTTCGGGGAGGGGTTTACCCCTCCCCCTACCCCCTCCCCACTGACCTGGACAGGGGGGGCCGCGATCGGTCAGAGCGTCCAAGATCGACCCCTGGGAGGGCTAAAATTCGACACCCCTCACGAGGATCGTGGCTCCTGAGGGGGGGGGCTGAAATTTAGGAACCCCCCTTCGTTGATCGATCTCCTCCAAGATGGCTCCGAGAGACGTCTTGGACCCCCTCTTGGGCCCTGCGCGCGGGCGGGCGGAGCGCCGCCCGCCCGCCCGCAAGGCCCAAGAGCCCACCAAAACGTTCGAAGACACTTCCAATACGCCACCAGGGAGGAGGAAGAGGCGGAGGAGGAGGAGGAGGAGGGAGGAGGAGGAGAGGAGGAGGAGGAGGAGAGAGGAGGAGGAGGAGAAGGCGGAGGAGAAGGAGGAAGAGGGGAGGAGAACAGCTGCCGATCATCGGCGCTCTTCGTTCGAGTGCCTGGTGTAGGATGGGATGGTGGGGATACGCGAAGCGTCAAGAATAGTAGTAGTAGTAGTAGTAGTAGTAGTAGTAGTAGTAGTAGTAGTAGTAGTAGTAGTAGTAGTAGTAGTAGTAGTAGTAGTAGTAGTAGTAGTAGTAGTAGTAGTAGTAGTAGTAGTAGTAGTAGTAGTAGTAGTAGTAGTGGTAGTAGTAGTATTAGTAGTAGTAATAGTAGTGGTAGTAGTAGTAGTAGTCGTAGTAGTAGTAGTAGTGGTAGTGGTAGTCGTAGCCGTCGTAGTTGGCTTTGTAATCGTGGTAGTAGTAGTCGTGGGTAGTAGTAATAGTAGTAGTAGTAGTAGTAGTAGTAGTAGTAGTAGTAGTAGTAGTAGTAGTAGTAGTAGTAGTAGTAGTAGCAGTAGTAGTATGAGTAGTAGTAATTGTAGTAGCAGTCGCCGTGTTCATGGTGGCGGCAGTGTACATGGTAGTAGTGGGAATGGCCGCGGAAGGGGAACGAAGAGGTGCGAGGAGGAGGAGGAGAAGGAATCTGACTGTGTGTTCTGGGATCAGATACCAACTCGAGATGTTGGGAATACTAACGTAATGCTGATCACGCAAGTCCGGACGCTGGCCCCGCTAGCATTTTCATCATCAAACGTGGAGACGGGCATTGCAATCCATTCACCATGGACGAGTCTCACTCCATGAGAAGACAACGCTGCACCTGCTCTCAACATGTCCATAACAACCCTCGTCTGGGGCACGACAACGTCATTTCCGTACCCTGGACACCGTGCCGTGCCTTCTCCGCCGTGCTGTCCCCGTGCGTGCATTGCCGCGCGGCGTGTCACGTCATCCATCCGAGGCCTCGCGTGGGAGAGGATGGGGATGAGAACGAGCACCAGGCGCAATACATCGAAAACCAAAGAGGAAGGAGGGCGGGGGGCCTCCACAAAGGATCGCCACGCGCTGGGACGGGCTGCACTTCTGCCTCTGAGCGGCCAAACAGAAGCAGGCACAGCCCTGCCGTCCCCCTTCGTGAAACTCCCCGTTCCATGCCCTCTTCCCTTGGTCCTCCTCCCTTGCTCCTTCCGCCCATCCCCTGCTGCTCCTCCCCTGCCCCATGCCTGCCACTGCCCCCCAGCCATCCCTCGCGTTCCTCCTCCACTTCTCTCCTCGCCGTGCCCCCACGCCTCCCTCATGTCACTGACCGTCACAATGCCTGCCTGCAGCCCGACCCTGACGGAAGCTGTGGCCAGCTCCTCCTGGGCCTAAACTGCGGATGTGAATCCTTGGCGGTATGGATGGGGGCATAAGGTGAACGGCGAAGTTCCCGGGAAGAAAACGAGGAAGCGGAGGGAGGATGTGGAGGATCGCTGGATGGAGGGGCTGCGAATGAAGAGGCTGAGAAGGGAACGGGTGGGCCGAATGGCCTCCGTTGAATAAGAGGAGAGGACGTGGCCAAACAGACAAACTCAACAACACATCCAATTGATGTTCTAAAGCTTCTTTATTATATATACATATATGCATACATCTATATGTACACACGCGGTGTATGAGCATTTTGCGTACGTCAATCGAGCAGGTACGCGGGATGTGAGCACATCAAACTTGCATGGTACTTATGATGCTACGCGTGTCTGCTTCGTACGTTTGGTAGGGGCGTGTGCTTGGCGTAGACTTGAATGAAACTACATTGGCGTTTCGCGCCATGCACTGTGGTCATTGGCGCGCAAAGAAAAAGGCAATACGGTAAACCGGAACATATAGCGACAATTCGTTGTAGGTTTTCTCTGGCATCGTCGTTGTAATAATGTTATTCGTTCTCCTTCCCTCGCGCTTCCTCTTTTTCTTCCCCAGTCTCGCTTTACTCTGCGAATTCGCAACCATTCTCAGCCTCTTGTAAGCCTCACGTCGATTGTGGAAAAAAAAACTTATTGGGGCCTTCTGGAAGCCTCCTGGGTTCCTTTTACGGGCCACTGGGGGCTTCCCCAGGCCACCCTGCTTCCAACCGCAGTCTCCCTGAACGACTGAGCTACGATATGGAATGATTCGGGAGGCGTCTTGGGGCCATCTTGGGCCGTCACGGGGCTCTCTTCGAGTCTTTCGCCAAGCGTATCCATATGAGTGCAACGTACAAGGCATTCTTTGTACACCCGCCTCAGGCTCGCTTGGCAACTGCTGTGCCGCGCCACGGTCGCCGAAAAGCAATTGACTGCGCATCTTCCTTTGGTCTCCTTTCTGGTCTAAGATTGAATCTGCCCACTGTTTCGGGCACCCCTGGTCCAGTCCGTCTGCGGTGTTTCGGCGTGTGGTTGGCGATCCTCTTCAGGACCTGCCACAACCAACCACACGGCAGGCCGACGCTGTCCCGAACGACGCTTCTGTTTTCGACTGTGCGAAAACACCGCGCGGACCTGTTGAATACCAAGATACACTGTGTCTGGTCGTATTCTGGGACTCCTTCGTACACACCAAAACTGCCAGAAGAAGTCAAGCTAGGCTATGAGAGCCTGCTATTTTGGCTTTCAGAAAAGGGAACCAACAATTGCCCCCTCTTTCGTGACACCGCCGGCAACCGCAACTAAGCCGGGCGATTGCATCCTTTTTCCTTGAGCGGGCACCAACCACGGCCCAGGGGTGTGAGCCACCCGGCCCCTGCGTTAGGCGCTCGTGGATAATCAGAGCGCGCCTGCGAAACCCCCTGCTTGATAAAGCCACCACTGGAGTTGGGGCACGCGACGCAACCTGTTCCGAGGGCCCGTGAGGAACCACCGGCAGTGTTCAGGGTGATCGGTTCTCCCAATCGTTTGATCATACCCATTGCGCCTGCAACACCACCGAAGACGAGTTCCTGGAGAGACTTTCGGTTGATAACCGATGTTTCGCCAACGTATCCATATGAGTGCAACGTACAAGGCATTTTGTGTACATCCGCCTCAGGCTCGCCGCGGGCTCGCTTGGCAACGGCTGTGCCGCGCCAGGGTCGCCGAGAAGCAGTTGACTGCGCAACTTCCTTTGGTCTCCTTCCTAGTCTAGGATTGAATCCGCCGACCCTGTCGGCGTGTGTGAGGGGCTTTTCCGTTCGAGCCGTCATCTCCGTCATTCTTTGTAATCGTCGTCTCTGTCGTTCCCTTTCCCTGGTGCCCCTCTTCCCCTGGGCTCCTCCCCGCTCCCCTCGCCCTTTCCCAGGGCCTCCTCCTCAAGCGCGCTAGCCAAACCGACCTTCAGCAACGTCGTAATTGATTCGAAGGGAAGCCCCTTCCCTTTCCCTTCCCCGACGGGGGGGGGAGGGGGGGTCCCGGGGGAGTCCCGGGTCAGATACGACGGCCCCCCCGTACCGACCTTGAGCAACGTCGTAATTGAGTCGAAGGGAAGCCCCTTCCCTTTCCCTTCCCCGACGGGGGGGGGAGGGGGGGTCCCGGGGGGGGTCCCGGGGGAGTCCCGGGTCAGATACGACGCCCCCCCCCCGTACCGACCTTGAGCAACGTCGTAATTGAGTCGAAGGGAAGCCCCTTCCCTTTCCCTTCCCCGACGGGGGGGGGAGGGGGGGTCCCGGGGGGGGTCCCGGGGGAGTCCCGGGTCAGATACGACGCCCCCCCCCCGTACCGACCTTGAGCAACGTCGTAATTGAGTCGAAGGGAAGCCCCTTCCCTTTCCCTTCCCCGACGAGGGGGGAGGGGGGTCCGGGGGGGGTCCCGGGGGAGTCCCGGGTCAGATACGACGCCCCCCCCCCGTACCGACCTTGAGCAACGTCGTAATTGAGTCGAAGGGAAGCCCCTTCCCTTTCCCTTCCCCGACGGGGGGGGGAGGGGGGGTCCCGGGGGGGGTCCCGGGGGAGTCCCGGGTCAGATACGACGCCCCCCCCCCGTACCGACCTTGAGCAACGTCGTAATTGAGTCGAAGGGAAGCCCCTTCCCTTTCCCTTCCCCGACGGGGGGGGGAGGGGGGGTCCTGGGGGGGGGTCCCGGGGGAGTCCCGGGGAAGTCCCGGGTCAGATACGACACCTCCCTCCCCCACCTTCTCGTCCTTCTCCCCGTTCCCCAAAACCATCCCACAGCCCGTGCCTCTTGCTGCGCAATGCGAACAGGGTCGGCGGCACCGGCCGTAAGGCCTTCGCAATATGCCCACTATTTCGGGCACCCCTGGTCCAGTCCGTCTCCACCGTTTCGGCGTGTGGTTGGCGATCCTCTTCAGGACCTGCCACAACCAACCACACGGGGCAGGCCGACGCTGTCACGAACGACGCCTCTGTTTCCGACTGTGCGAAAACACTGCGCGTACCTCTTGAATACAAAGATACACTGTGTCTGGTCGTATTCTGGGACTCCTTCGTACACACCAAAACTGCCAGAAGAAGTAAAGCTAGGCTCTGAGAACCTGCTGTTTATGCCTTCGAAGAAAGGAGGAAACAATTCTTCGGGCCATCTTCGGGCCCTGTTGGGCCGTCCTGGGGCTTCTCTTGGACTGCCTGGAAGCCCTGTTGATTAAATTTGGGGCGATTCTCTGGCCTCCTGGGCAGTCTCGGATGACCAGAAGACCGAGGAACTGAGCATCCCCCAAATCATGCAAAAACCATCGGACATCTATCTGTTTTGCGTTTCGAATGCCTTTTGGGGACTTCTTTGGGTCGTCATCGGGCGTCTGGTGGGTGTCTGGGTCACGGGGCCGTCCGGACACCCTCCTGGCCGATCTGGGCCCATTGCCTAGGCCCAGCAAGGGCTGCAGGAGCCACGGAAAGCACAAGGGACCGTCTGCAAGGGCGTCCCGGGTGCCCCGTGGGCCAAGGACCCGGAGGGGTCCCGTTTAGGGAGGGGGTCGCAGGGTCCCAGATTATGAAAATATATAACAAAAAACAGATGAGTCAATAGTTAGGGATGTAGGCATGTTGTGGGTGCCAATGATAAATGCGTGGTGCTAATGCCTGCTCCTTATGCTTATGCGAGTCTGTGATTATGCAAATTACGCGTATGTGCGCATGTGCTCTCCATACGTGTATCTAATGGGTACTATTAATACATGTGCTTAGCGTATGGCCTTGCATTGTGTACATAATGTCGACTCAGTGGGCCTGTGATTCGTGTGTGGTACTGGTGTATGCGGCTGATGTGTGCTATTGGTGGCTGTGGTTGACGCTTGTTCTGGATGTATAATCGACATCGTTGACACACATGTTTGATGTATCATCTTGTGTCGGGAAGCTGTGCATGCATATTCCAGATGTATGTGCTGTACGTATGGTCGCGTTGATTGTTCTTCATATGTTCTAGGAGCATGGTCTTGACGGGTGCGTTCTTGATGAACGGACGTTGTCATTTAAAAAGGTGTACGATCATGATTGCTCCTGTTGGTGTGGTAATCATGCGTGTTCTTGGTGTGCGTTCTTGAACTCAATGCTTAATGTACTCTATTGGTGCCCAAATGTGCTACTGGTGTCGGTCCTCGTTGTCTGTTCTGCATGCCACTTGCTCATCATGGTCTTGATGCCTGTGGTGGGTGTACGCTCTTAGCGTCTGCTTTCGGCGTATGTCGTTAGAGCCAAGTATTGATGCTCTCGATGCCTGTTAGTAGTGGCATGCCAGATCTTGATGTCTGCGATGTATACTCTTAAAACATGTGCCTGACGCCTGTCCTTGCCGTGTGTTCTCGATGTATGCTCTTGATGTATGTTTCTTGTTTGTGAACGGCGTGACGCCTCCCTGCGTTTTGCGTGCACATTATTTATGTGTGTTGTGCGTCTGCTTCGTACGCTTGGTGCGAATGTATGTCCTTTTATGTATGTTGTATGTGTGTGTCGCGCCGGAAGATTGTGTATGTGTGCCATGTGTGCGAGCTGTTTCTGCCGATTCCTCATGCATGTTATGTGTGTCTGCCCTTCTTTGCGTCTGGCATTTTCGTGTGCTCAAAATGTCGTCATCAGTCGAAAATGCGAGGCGGGATCCCCAGAGACCTCCGGGAGCCTGGGGCCTGACGCCACGGCATGCTGTCGTCGTTCGTCGAAGATGCGAGGCGGGATCCTCAAGGACCAGCGGGATAACTGGGGCCTGACGGAATCCCCAAAGACCATCAAGACGGCCGCAGCATGCGGTCGTCATTCCGCGAAAACGTGAAGCGGGATCCCCAGGGACCACCAGGGCCTTGGGGTATGGCGGCCGCGGCATGCGGTCGCCCTTCGTGGAAGACGCAAGGCGCGATCCTGGATCCCCAGCGACCACATGGGGCCCTTGGGGCCTGGAGGCCGCGGCATGCGGACGTCATTCGTCGAAGACGCGAGGCGGGATCCCTGGAGACCACCAGGGCCCTTGGGGTCTGGTGGACGAGGCGGGTCGGGAACTCATTCTTTGAAGCTAGCAACCCCTGGCACGGAACACTCCGGAGGCATCCAGAAGGAAACATCACTTCGCAGAATACTCCATCCTCCTCCTTCTCCTCCCTCTTCTCCTCTTTCATTATCCTTTCTGATTCTCCTTCAGGGCATCCCTGTTCCGAAACCACATGTGCATGGAAGTATACATACGACTAGTTGAGTCGAGGGTGAATGCTCGGAACTACATTTGCAAAATTTGAAGAGCACGGCCATGCATCATATAGTAACGATGTCAGAGGGGAAACACGTCTTGCGAAAGAGGGGCAACACCTTGTGACGCCCAGTAAGCAATGCAAGATGCTGCAGCATGACACGCCCCGCTCGGCTGACCTGTACCAGTTGGCGCACTGCGGCGCACGGTGAGCAGAGTACCTGGGCGCGAAACATCTTCGCATCGGCCCGCGCAAACCATGACATAACACAATGGAAATATGCAATTTTTTCAAACAAACATCCGCCGACACTGTCGGCGCGTGTGAGGGGGAGTCCTGGGGTGGTCGTCCAAGGTGGTCCTGGGATGCGTTGTTCAGTTCGAAACTATTCCCCGATTTCCCTGCGGTCACCTGCGGCTCTTCAGGCTCGCCTGACCGGGGTGGATGGAGTCGGCGGGAAAACCCTCCCGTTTGATTCTTTCCTTTCCCCACCCAACGGGGAGCGCGGGTGTAGGGGGGAAAGGAGGTTCGGGAGGGCCCCGCTGGGTTTTGGGGGGGGGGAGGCGCCTCTCCGCCGCACCCTCTTTGCCTGGACTGGTTCGGGCGATCCTGGAGCCTGGAGCGGCTCGGGCAATCCTGGAGCTGGTTTGGTTATCTTCGGGCTGCCTAACAGCGCTTCTTGGCAGGCGCGAAACTACGGTGCTCCAGGCGGCTTGCGGTGCTGAGTGCCACCATCAGCGCGGACTGATGCGGAGTTCCATAGGTTTTTTGTATGTCCTTTCTTTCCTTTTCTTTTTTTCCACGGGGGGCGCACTTCCACGCCACTTGGCGCGGTGAAGCAACAACGCATCAAATCCGCCACCGCGCTTGCAACGGCATGTGTGTGTGTGTGTCTGTGTGTGTGTGTCGGACTCTGTCGCTCTTTGCGAAACAATGCCGACCCCATTTGGGCTCATCCTCGCGTGAAATGTTTCCCCCTCTCCAAACCCCTACCCTGGGAACTCGTTCAGGCCGCCTTTCGAAGAGGGGGGGTCTCCAGGATCTCGGCGAACGCATCCCGGGGGAACCAAACCGCTACTTCACTTGGGCCAAATTCGCGCCAAACGCGCCCGCCCGTGTTCCCCACGGCCGGATACAAAAACACTGCAGTAGTATTTTGGGGCTTCGGTTGTATGTAGTCAGAGGCTTGCCAAACAAAAAGACGGCTGCCCTCTTGTCGGGCTGCAAGCGAACGGTCGACGGCCAAGCATTACAGCGCGCATCTCCTGGACGGGAAGCGGCGGGCGCATCGGCCGAGTCCCTTTTCGTTGGCGTTCGCTCGCCCTTGTCAAACCTTGGTAGCCCTTGGTAGCCCTTGTCAAACCTTGGTAACCCTTGGCAGCCCTTGTCAGGTCTTAAGCGCGGTCGAGGCCTGTCAAGGCTTTCGGCTAATTCTCAAGGGTCGAACGCTGACCGATTGGATCTCCAAGTTAACATTGGTTTGAACATAAATATCTTACGATGGAGACAAAAGGGCCCCCCGTGCGCGCGGAATTCAGCAGCGAACATCATCGAACAGTCGCCCTGTTGGCGTGGGAACTCATGTGAACGCTTAACGGTGGCCGACGTGATTTCGGGTGACCAGCGCGGTAGGCGGGTCGCGCGCCGCGCGCGCGTGAGCTCGTGGCGAGTTCTGAAGCGGTGATGGAAGAGATGTTGATGTGAGCGCGGATTCTGGTGCACGATTTCACGCATGATCCATGCAGAAATCTGCTACGCACGCGCGCCTGAAGGGTTCCGCTATGTCCGCGGTCGGGAAAGCGGCCAGGCTGGCTTGGAAGCCCAAGTGGCCCTTGAGCGGTGACCGACCGGACTGCGGGTGGCCCGCGCGGCGGGCCCTTCGTCTGGTCAAGATGTCGCTGCGTGAAGGGCGTCATCCACTGGGGCGCGCGAGGGAAGTTCCGCCTGGGAGCTCGGGGGTCGGCGCGCGAGCGCGCGCGCCCGTCGAAGTAAAGGGAAAGAAGGGGGGGGGGGGCCGGGCGGGGCCCCGGAGGGCCTGCATAGACGAGCGGGGATTTGGCGACGAGCCCCCCCCCGTTCCCCCCACGGCCCCCGGGTTAGCGAAACCCATGGAGATTGCCCAGAGTCGAAGGGCGCGGGATCAATCGAGCCAGCCCTCCGATTCGAGAGCACCTTGCTGGACGTGCCTCGAGATCGCTCTGAGCTGGTGGCCCCCTCGCCCCGCGGCCCAACTGTCTAGTTGATCGGCCAGTTGCCGCGCCCCCTCTCGCTGCTTGGCCAGCGCAGTAAATGCTTCGAGAGAAGCACGCGAAGACGGCTGGGTCTGGGGGGCGAGGGCAGCTCCGATGCCCTTCATCATCTCAGACAGGTGCTTGATCTGATCTGCGACGGGCGGGTCGTCCATGCCAGGGTCGCAACTGAACGCGCCGCTCTCGCCCATGCGTTTCAGCAGGGCCTCGCAAACGGCGTCGCCGGCAGCGCGTGCCCCCCCGACGCGTTGTTTTTCGCCTCGTGTTCCGTCGGACATGTGCTAGCGAAAAGTAATCGCCCGCAGGGGCCTCGGCTCTGCCGCCAGCGAGCCCCTCGGACAATGGGAAGAACAAAGGGGGGATTTCTGATGGGCAAGTTGCCGCGGATGGCAAGGTTGCGCGATCAGCGGACAAAGGCGCGCAGAAGCATGGGCGCAGGGCGGGGCGAGCGTCGGGGGCAGAGGGGGGGGGGGACATGGCAGAGTTCGCGCGGCACTGAGAAAAGATGGGGAAGGGCGAGGGGGGAGAAGGTAGCGAGAGTAATGCGCGAGGGAAGCGGCGGAGAACAGCTAGGGCGGCGAAAGGGGGGCAAGGGGGCGGGCGGGGGGCCTCGCGGATTACTTCTCGAAAAGGGGGCATGTCAGATTTACCGCGAGAAATCTGCATCGCCCGACCAGGGTTGGCTCGTGCCAATGTCAGCGCGCGGGCGAGGGTTCGACCCGATTCCGCCCGGCGCCACAGCATTTGCTCATGTTCGGGGGGGGGGGGGGGGGGGGCGCAGAGGGGGAAGGATTCCGCCGGCTCTGGCGCGCCGCCGGGTGCACCGCGATTTCGCGAGCCTGCTGGGAGGTCGCAGCGAGCCTGCTGGGAGGGCAGGGGGCGGTGTCGCAATGGGCCCAGGAGGTGCCTAGTGAGCGAGGTCCCCAATCAAAGCACGAAGCCCCCTCATTGACTGATCGCGGCAACCCTCCCAGCAACCCAGGCCCCCCCCCCCCGCCCCGCCCTCTCGCGGGCTACGTCGAAGTCGCCGCGGATGTTCTTGCCCTTGGCCCACTTCCACTGCGAGCCCGCGTCGAAGACGGCAATCGCGGCGCTAGCCCCCCCGCTTGATAAAGAAAAGGGGGGCGGGGGGGGGGGCGGCGCGACCCCTGGCGCGATGTAAATCCACAGGCCAATTGGCGAAACATTTATTGCGCGAGGCGGAGCAGGGCCGGGGCGGATGGGAGGGCGAAAGGAGGGGGCCGCGCGCGCATGCAAATCGCGCGACGAGGCCGGACTGAACCATGACCGGCCGAACCGAGCGGCCGAACCGGACCGGCCGAACCCGACCGGATGGACCGAATCGGACGGCAATCTGAACGGGGCCAGCCGAACCGACGCGAAGGCGCGCCAACCGGACCGAACCGAACCGTGGCCATATGTCTCTACCTCATATTATAGCAACCGCCTTCCCTTGCCCCCGTCGCCCTTCAACCTCTCGCGCCCAGCCCGACAAGAAAGGGCGTTTATTTCCGCGCTCGTTTTCCATGGTGCTGTTGCGCGGTGCCTATTTATATTCGCGTCTATTTTTCGCGCCGCGCGCACGGTGAAGCATTTGGTTTCGCACGCGCAAAAAAAAACACGAATGGGTGCTATATTTCATGGAAACGACCCGATGGAAAGTAAGTGGGAAAACGAATGGAAAATGATGCCAGAGAAAAACCCCAATCCTTTGTTTGTTGGGGGCTATGGTGCTATAGGACTACAGGGCTATAGGGCTATGGGGCTATAGGGCTATATGGCTTTGGGGGTATTGTGCTATAGGGCTATAGGGCTATGGGGCTACAGGGGCTACAGGGGCTATAAGGTTATAAAGCTATGGGGCAATTGATGAGGCATGGGCTATATGTGTTGTTGGGCTCCTGGGCTATTGGGCTAGGGCTGCATGGCTGTAAAATACCCGGGCGCCCCTGGGCAGCTCCGGGCGCCCCCGAGCACCCGGGCGCCCGGGCGCCCGCGGGCGCCCGGGCACCTGGCCGCTGAAATCCTGGGACACCGGGCGCCCACGGGCACCCGGGCGCTCGGGCACCCGGCCGCCGGCCGCCAAATCGGCGCCGCACCTCGCCGAACCATGTGAATCCACTAAGACCCCTACAGAGGCAAGCTCTGCTTGGGGAATAAACGCAAACGTCGTGCATGGGCGCGAAAGTAGACGCGGCCATGCAGTAGACGCGAGTAGACATGTTTAGATGAGTGCAGGCGCGTTGCGAATAGACGCGCAACACAGCGCGAATCAACAAAGACACAATGGTAAAAATGGGCACGGACTAGTGGAGAAGTTGCGGGAAACGGAAAACAAACCGAACAGGTGAGCATTTGGGATGGAAGGAGCGCGGGGGGGGGGGGAATTCGGAAAATTCGGGAGACGGGCAACGGCGAAAACAGCATGGGGGAATGCGGATGAGCGGGGTGGGTGGGCGGGTGGGTGGACGGGGGAAGGAGGAGCGGAGAGGAGGAATGGGGGGGCGCGGGTCGGAGTGCACGCGCACGACTGGACCGTGGCAGGGGCGCAAACGAAAATGGAAGCACGGAGAGGAGCATGGGGGACCTCGGAGGGGTGGAGAAAACAAAAGTGAACAATAATTTTGCAATAGGATCGGAGGGCTTACGCGGAAAGCGGGAGGAGTGCCGTGGAGGCGCGAGCCTTGAAGCGGACGGAGAAGAGATCAAACATGGGAGAAGTAAGGGTGGGTGCTGGAAAGCTGGAACGACGGCAGAGAAATTGACATGGGAGCTCGGAGCGGGACTCGGAAGACTCGGAAAAACACGTGCAACTAGGATTTGTAAGGCTGTGAAACAACACATGTTGCACAGAAAGTAGACGCGCGCCGCGATACATAGACGCGATAATGAAAGACACGAGCGAGCGCATTTGGACAAAGACAGGCGCGAATAGAAACGTTGAACATAAGCACTTTTGCCAAACATAAAA